CAGTTCATTAGAGGTCACGATAATCAAAATGAAAGGAAACGCAGCCAAAACATGGGTGTGCCAAGACAGATGCTGACTTCTGATAACTGGCTGTTGACCCATCTTTGCTAAAACGACTAACAACAATGACTCTTGAGCTTTCAGTTTCTACCTGTCGGGTCATCTTGTTCACATTACCAAGAAGACTGAAGTTAGAGGGGCTGTGGGACAAATAAAACTTGAGTTTCACACTCCATACAGCCTATAGGTTAAATCCAGGCCCAGTGCTGTCTGGATATCACTTTAGGTTATCTTTTAGGTTCATGTTGCACATGCCAGCTCAAACAGACAGGCACAAATCCAAAGCACCAGCTAGCCAGACAATCCAGAGTACTGAGAGCTTCTTTACTGAGGATAAAGAGACGTTCGTTGAGTTGTCAAGGGATTTATTTGAAACAAACTGGAGTTTAGATGGCGGGTTTTTGCCCATTCACTAGATCTGATATCGGTTTTTCCTCTGTGCGAACCCCACAGACCTTCCTGACACTGTCTTTGCAAGACATGGCGAGTCGAGTGCAGCTTTCAGGCCCACAGGAAGCAGAGAAATACGTCTTACACATGGTGAGTTCTCCAGAGAGACCAAAGCACAAAAAATGCAATCCAGTTGATGCTGATAGAAATCACGATATCCAACTTTACATGTTTGTGAAATGGTTTGATATTTTTTTTTAGCTGTAGATGTATTACACAAGTCTTTTATCTGTTGTGTTGGACCGTTTTGGACTTGAAGGCCTTAACGACCATATAACAATAGTCTTTACGCTGGATTTTCTGCATTCCCTCTTGTTTTCTTCTTTGCAGATTGAAGATGGTGAGATCTATGCTAGCATTAACCAAAAAGATGGTATGGTCTGCTTCCATGACAACCCTGAAAAATACAACAACCCAGCAATGCTCCACAAAATTGACCAAGAGGTGTGGAGGCTCAGATCTGTGTTCACTGTTCTTGTGCTTTGCATGGATTGTTTGCAGTTGCAATACACAAATCCTGCATGAATTTTTGAAAATGAACACGTGTCTTTTTTTCCTCTCTTTTCAGATGTTGAAATGTATACAGCTGGATGAGAAACTAAAGTCTATGGATCAGGAAATCACAGTAAACCCACAATTTGTGCAGAAGGTGAGGGGGGGGCTCCAGCAACACTGGAGTTGCTTTTTCTTATTTTGGCTTATGTGTGTATTTTTGGTAGAATGAGCCAGACTAAGGATGTTCTCCTGTCGGCGTGTATGTTGTCCAAAAAGTTCAAATTTTAAACATTTTATTGAAGCAGAGGATAAGATGCTTAGAGGTTTAGAAACAGTGTGATCACTGTTTGTTGCACATGTGGCATGCCTGAGCAGATTGTGTTGCCAAGTCACATGGTGTCTTCAGTCACTGTTTCATGAAATCCATTGCTGGGCGTTTGATAAACACTGACTCTGTAATTCTCCCTTTTCAGTGTAACTGACATGCCACTTGTTATGCAATACGCGATTATAAGGTTTCGCATTTCCATGCATAATAACCAAAAACTACACCTGATTCAAATTATAGATCTCCCCCTTCAAGAACATTTCCAACTGTGCAAGTCAGAAAACGGTCCTAGCCTGGTGCTTCTTTTTCCCTTTTTAAAGATTGCCCCCTGGACGTCCTGTTTTGACCGCTTGCCCTTGTGTGTCTCATTTACACTATGGTGCTAAAACTTGCACAAATTTGCACATTGGCTTCCGTTTCAAACTAACCCAACCTTCCTTATGGAGGGTGGCGAGCCTTTGGCTGTAGACAAAAACCAAGACGCTGTTTTGGATGAAGAATCTGATCCAAGCTTATCAGGTCGGGAATGTGACCACAAGAATGCTTTCACTTTTAGTTTTCTGGGCCGTTTGTGGGGTCGTTCACCCTAAACTCAGGTGTAGGAGGCTTTCCCAGCTATCACAGCGTGAGAATTATTTTTCTTAACCAAATATTTATTAGTTCTTTATTTATCCAGGTAAAAAATCTCATTGAGATTAAAAATCTCATTTTCAAGAGAGACCTGGCATCATGGCAACAAAAGTCAAAATACACATACCACATAAGTATATAACATTTAAAACAAATACAATATCCCATACCAACATGTGTAAAATATACAATAACAGATCAAATTAAGAGTACATTAAAAACAATCACACTGAGTAAAAGAGTTGTTCTCTCGCTCCTTTAAGACAGACTTAAACTCTCCCAAGGTAACCAATTCTGATTGATTCTGATCAATTCTGTTCTGATTTTTGGGACAATCAATTGTATGATATTGTGAGAACGAAGGCTGTACTGGTTGTGGTTTTTACACATATAAACACATAAGAGATTTATAGATAAAGATCAATCAATGGGAGAGTCTGCGAATATGCAAAGATGGACATTTAGCAGCAGCATACAAAGAACGATGATGTACACGATTTCCATAGCCAGTAATAAAACGTAAAGCACAATGGTACACAGTATCCAACCTCATTAGGTAGTGGGCAGGTGCATTCATAAAAAGCAGGTCACCATAATCCAATAAAGGTAAAAAAGTTGCATGAATCAAGTGTTTTCTCACTTGGAGGGAGAAACAGGATTGATTTCTAAAAAAGTAACCTAGTTTTAGTTTTAACTTCGACACAAGCCTTTGAATGTGAGTCTTAAATGACAAATTCTGATCTATAATGATCCCTAGATACTTGTAAGATGTGACCATTTCAATTTCAGTTCCTTGAATTGTTTTAATCTTAGGAGACGTAGCTAACAACTCTTTGTCATTTGAGAATAACATGAACTTTGATTTCTCTGGATTTAACACCAACTTAAGTTGAGTTAAATGGAACTGAACTACATTAAAGGCAGACTGCAAAAATTGCAGGGTTTTTGCTACTGAAGGGGATGAACAATAAATAATTGTATCATCTGCATAAAGATGAAATGCTGCATTTGACAAATTATCACAAAGGTTGTTTATGTAAAGAGAAAATAGCAATGGCCCTAATATGGAGCCCTGTGGAACTCCTTTGGATACTGGGAGAAAAGAGAAAGAAGACCCAGCAGCATGGACACAGTTTTCTTGCTGACAAGTAATTTGAAAACCAACTTACAGCATTTACAGATAGACCAATGTTGTTTAGTCTATTTAATAAAATAGCATGGTGAACTGTATCAAAAGCCTTTGACAAGTCAAGAAAAAGAGCAGCACAGTATTTTTTGCAGTCCATTCAATCAACGATGTCATTAACCACTTTAATAGCAGCAGTCAGGCTCACTTTCTATCAAATTGGGAACCATTGTGCTTATAAAACACAAATTAATTTGTCGAATCTGGCTAAAGTTAGCAGCAACCTGCCTTTCTTGCAGGCCTGCGTGGTTTAAATCAGTTTAATCTTACATATGACATACAAACGCTTATTTTCTACAGAAGCTAAATGGTTTGCACAGCTGTCGTCTTGCTTATAGTTCACCTCGTTTGTTTACACCTTTCCATCATTGAAAGGCGCTGCCTGGGCTAGTCGTACATTGTGACTCATTTTGTAATTTTGGCTGTAAATTTACGAAATAATTTTCTGCTTTCAAGAACTATTTGAATTTTCTCTCTGGTCCACAATGGTTGAGGACCAACAATAATGTGAAGTGCACATGGTAACATCTGTCTGTTCAGACAGTAGTACCTTGTGAATACTTTGTGCTACCACAATATACCAGATATTGCTGTAAAGCTCGTCTTCCCTTCCTTCCAAAACAGTTTTAAATTTTGTCACAAGAACAAACGGTGATGGAGCTACGGACATTTAAAGTTAACTGACTTGGATTTTCAGTGCCAACAAACAAGGACAGCAACTTTTAAACGACCAGTCAACTAGCTGCATACTTCCTTATTGTATATATCAGACCTTCCCAAAGTGTGGGGCCAAATCACGGACAAACAGTATCCCACATTCTTGATTTTTAGTTCAAACACTTGCTGTAATGACTAACTACTCCTGACATTTTGGAGATGTTAGCTCTTTATACAGTAAAGCTACAGCGAGATACAAATAATATCAGGCTGATCCTGCCACGATTTGTTCCCCCGGTTCAAATCACGGACTAACATTGAATTGTTAGTCATAAACAGTTGTTTATGTTTTTCAACCCATTTTGCACAGAGAGGCATTTTTTGAAAATGTATTGATAGCAATGTTGAATATTATTACACAGGAAAAAAACAAAAACAACTACACGTAAAATAATCACACCATGACACCTCTGCCTTTGTAAATGGAGGGACAGTAACTGCGTGTGTGTATGTAAGCCTGTAAAAACCGAAGATAGTCAGATTAACAGTATTTTGTCTCTATCCGCCATTCTGCAATTCATCTCATGCAAACAATAACGTGGTGCACAGCGTGACGTGAAAAAGGGCACATACCTTTGACGTTGGATGACGAACTCTGTATTCCTCGTCCACAGGTAAACGCAAAAAAGGAGTTTTAAAAAATCTCCGTTTTCGGTGATTCGAAACGTCGTTTACGTGTGGACGAAACAGCTGCGTTGTCAAAAATACCCATGTAGGTGTGGATGTAGCATAAAAAAGTTAGTAGTTTATTTTCTTACTACCTGTAATTTATTGCAGATTACTTGTATTTACTTAATTGTTTACTAAATGTTTGAGGTGTGAAATAAACCGCAATGGAGCAAAATAAGGGTGTGTGTGGTTGGAGAATGTGTTTGTGCATGTGCATGTGCACGTGCGGGAGGGGGGGGAGGGGCACGAACATTTTTCTTGTAAAACAAAGGGGGCCCAGCAAAAAAAGTTTGGGAACCACTGGTATATATCAATACAAACTGGGGGAAAAGTCTAAGGAGTTAGTTCCCAGAATGGCAATACGCCCTACCATCAAGTAATATTGGGCATTGAGACCTGAACAAAACAATCAGTCATTGTTGGTGGAAGTGCAGCAGAAACTGGTTTGCAGCAGTGGCTCGGCCTGTTGTGTTCAGATAACAGCTTTGATGTTTTGTGTTGTTTTTTTTTTGGTTTTTGTTTCCCCTTCAGAGTATGGGATCGCAGGAGGATGATGTCGGTAGCAAAACGTCTAGTTATTCCTGAGGGGCCTTGGATGGGGAGAGAACGCTGCAGCCACCCAACACGTTCTTCCCAGGATGAGTTGGATTTTTTTAAAAGAGGAAAAACAAACATTCTATCTCACATAAGGACATTGGTCAAGGAAAATCTAATTGTGTGGAATGATGATAAATTTGGTTATTCTTACTTCACAGTGTCTTAAGGATAACATGAGATCCTTACAGAAAAAGGAGGAAAAAAGAAAAAAAATTACAATTTTGTCAGTGTTTTATTTATCAATGTTCAGGTTGAAGCGCCACTGCTACATTAACAGAAATCACAATAATAAAAACTGGACTTATTTGTTCCAAACGTATGTGAAAAATCTCACTGTTTGTTGTGGTTCTGCTGCATGATGGTCGTGACTTTGAGGGCATTACGTACAAGGTCAAACATCTAAAATTGATGAAGAATGAATCTGATAAAATTCTGCATTTGTAAAGACTGCAAACGATCGTTTCTCTCTCACTCCTGCCGGTTAGAATGTAGATATCATCAATAGTGAATCTGTACACATGGACATGCCCTTGACCAAAACTCGGCACAATGGAGGAGTCGTTCACAATCTGGTGCACTGTTTTGTTTTTCTTTTGTTTTGTTTTTCTTTTGTTTAGGGTTTTTTTTGTTTTTGTTGTTGTTTTGTTTTTTTAGGTCGGATCCACTAGAGGTCGCTAGAGCACTGTACAGAAAACCGATTTGACAGCTTGTTATTACAAGAGGTGAAGTCAACAGATGAAACCAAACTGTCATGTAATTTTGGGAGCTTGAGCTTGGCGATTGTGGATCTGTTAATAATAAATTGTTTAAGAATATAGTTCTGGGTTTCATGCCTTTATGGAAAGATTCTCTTCGACACGGGCCCTCGTCTTTACGGTGTGTTTCAATTCTCATCCATTCATGGACTGTCACTTTTTTTTTTGTAATTGTTACGCTGAAGCTAATTTTCGCTTCAGCCAATGAACGTACGTATGCAAGCGGATGTGGTTAGCTGGAGAATTCCACCAATCAAGACGAAGCGCCCTTCTTTTTAGAGGCAGGACTTTACCCTCTGAACGAAAGTTGGCACATGTCAATCACATGCAGCACTCGGCCGTGATTGGTCCGTCGCTATGAATGAGGTGGGTCTTAACGACACTCGCCGTGTAAGCTACTTGAAATTCCAATGCTAACCAACTTTAGCCAGCTTGCTAACGTGTAACTGAGCGACTGTGAAGAACTACATGTAAAGCGGTATAGCTGGATTTAAATACATAAATGATACATATCTCCAAAAGAGGTATATTGTAAAATTCGTCTTCATGCTTGCTACTGCGCGTGTCTCTGCTACTGCAACCAGGACATGTCCAGTTAGCCAGAACGCAGCACTCGGTGGATAACAAACCCTGGCAGAGCTAGCCAGTCAGCCCGCTTGGACTGGGTCTGCTTTGAGGGATTTGAACAGGTTTCGTCGCTCAGTGGACAGCGAAGCCGGATGCTGTGACTACCATGAGTCCCGCAGGCTGCCCTCATGTCAACGGCTTCAAGGTGGACAACTGGAAGCAGAACCTGAGGGTCATTTATCAGTGTTTCGTGTGGAGTGGTTCAGCTGAGACCAGAAAACGCAAGGTAACGAGTGTTTAGTAGGGACCCTTAATGTACGACAGTGTATGCGTGTGTTTGTGTGCTGAGCTGCCGTCGTGTGCGTAGATAGTTCTCCGCCCTTCCACAACAACAAACGGTGAATGCCAAAGTACCGCTTTCCCCCTCAGCCAAATACTATCCAAGCTCAGAGACTTGTTTTAGTCTCAGCGTGGCGCCTAAATGCCACTCTGAGCACCTCACCACAGCTGCAGTGTCCTCAAACTGATGCAAACTACTAGCATGTCACCCAGTTAACCCCCTCTCCACTGAACGTTAGCTTAGATCAAAGCTAGAGTCCGCATGATGGATCAGCAAGCTGATGATGTGCATGTGTTTGCACTGGCACTGCGCCTGCTGTGGCTCCACTTCCTCCCACCAGCAGACCGCAGGCCAGTGTTACACGGTGGTGTTTCCTCGCTTATTGGGGCACTGATGGCTCTGAAATCAGCCAAGTACTTCATATCTCTTGTCCTCATAAACCTATGATAACAGATATGCAGCATGGCCATGTTTGTTCAGCATTACAGGATCAACGAGGTTTAACAGGTAAAGCAACAGAATGTGTCTTCAGTTACGCTGAAAGAGGGAATATTATTTTTCTTCTCCTTTGTTTATTTTTTTTAATAATCATGCCATTACTTAGACATATAGCATGTTGTGTTTGCATTATCTGTGTATATACTGCACTGGCTTAAGTCCAGGACACATGTATACAGAAATAAATGGTGCGTATGCAGATGGTATATGTACTGTATGGTCTCTTCCTGTGCCCCTGGAGGGCCAAAATCCCTTCTTATCATGAAATATGTGGGACACCTCTCCAATCAGACACATGCTTCTTATGGGGAAGCTGTTACACCAGGCGGTTCTGCTCCACCTGTCATGCACTTGTTTTCTTTTTATCCAGCTGGATAAGTCTGTTGACAGTCATAGATTAGATTTTCCAGTCTAGTTTCAGGTCCAAGACAGTCTTTAATTTGACCCTGAACAATATTTCAACCGCAAAGTTTATCCATACATTGTTGTTATTCAGCGAGCATTGGTGTATCCAGGTATTTTGGCTTGCTACTCACACTCTGCACCTACACTGGGTTGCTGCAGGGATGCAACAAAGGGAAAGGACAAGTATTGTGATTCCAGGGCCATTCAAAACAACAATGGCAAACAAATTGCATACATTTTGACAGTCAAGTAGCAACACTTGAAAGTGTTACCTGTGAAAAATACAGGTCTGACAACTCCTTAATCACCCGCTTGCCACTCTGTGTCGTCCATTACCTCTGGCGTCAGCCTCAGCACTGTGTACATCAGACAGTCCGCTGACCTTCAGATGTAGATTGAATGCCAAGTATTGGTTCACCTTTAGAATTCAAAGGCTCAGTTCTTTCACTCACTTCACTGACAATCACACAAGTGTTTTATCTCATCTGAATTGCGCCAACATTGAATTTTATCAGTCTACTGCAGAGTAAAAGCGCATTTTCTCACCGCAATCCTAATGTGATCTTTTTACATTGTAATAAAACATTTAACATTTTATTTTCTGTATATTAAACAGCAAAGTTTCAAACAATGAGGTCAGCATATCCTCTGGTAGATCTTGTGTGTCAGAGGCTTCAGGCAGGTTTTTTTTCCCTTACACTTGTCTGTATGATGTCAGTAAGAGCAGATATTCCTAATATGGTCAGGCACACGGCTCTGGTTGTTAGCACAGAAGCTCCGCCCACCTACTCTTCAGCTCATCTGTTTATGAGGCGCAGCCAGTCAAATAACAGTGTGCTTGGGAGCGGGAGGATAGAGAACTAAAACGGATAATTTCAAACAGTGGAAGAACTCAGCAGCTGCACTTAGGCCCAGTAAGATTCTTAAAAAAAGGATTATTTTGAACTGTGAAAAATGCAGACCCATTAGTACAGCACAGGATTGACAATTAGGACCTGGACATAGTCCTTTTTAACAGCCAGTATAGGCTGCTCAAGGGACCATAAAATAAGACCATGTTTTAAAATTGGTGAGTCACTACTAAACGTCAGAGCTTAGCAGATTTAGCAGTATTTTCTGTCCTCCTAAGGCTGTCTTCTACTAGCTTGCGCCACTGCAACACAAAGTAGATTTAAAGTGAAAGAGGCCCTCTGAGTATCAAACCCGGAGCTGGTGGCAAAAATAAACAAGGTCAAAGTATTTGCCATTACGACAGTGACAGCTGTTGCTTTAAATTTAAGTTCAGCTTCATTTCTTAGCCCTCTGTTTTTTGTTTTTTTTTCTATGTTGAACATTTAGTCTTTCCACTAGTTTCAAGGGCACACACTCCAACAACAACCAAATCTTAGTATCAGACATATCAACAAATCAGATTTACCTGGGTGTTTTCAGTGGCACAGCTTATGCCACAAGACTAAATGTTGCAAAATAGAGTGATGACTGTAAAACGGGTCTGTTATTTCTTAGTTTGCCTGGGACAAAGGAGGAAATAATTGATTAATCTTCATAAATAAATATCAGTCTGTTGTTTGGGATGGCAGGCTACCACATCTTTTCCCTAAATGAATGAGACAGGTGTCGCTGCATGGGCACACAGTGTAATAATCTTCTCACTTTACACTTTTCTAACCAGCAACTTTACATCCCATTACCATCTCCAGTTCTCCCTGCCTACTGGTAGCTCGTCTCTGACATCGCAGCATTTGGAGGAATATGGCACAGTTGGAGCTTGGCTGTTCTTCGGGTGTTAGAAGAACCACAAGGCCTCTTAATACACAGTACACAGTGTTCTAAACCATAACTACTGCGCAGTGTATATGTGCTCAGGCTCTTACTGACAGTTTGGGATGTGGAGATGTAGAGCAGAGAAGATGACACAAATCCTACATGAATACAGCGTCCTTGGGGGACTAGCTAAACAGACGTGCACACTGTAACAATGACAGCCAAAAGAATGAGTGACGAAAGATTGTTGCATATTGATGGGTATTTTCATAATTCATGTGCTGTCCGAGCAGTTTTGCAAGGAGGGGTGTGTGTGTGTGACTGGAATAAGAATGTCTTTTTTTTGTATCTGTGTCCCACATTTAGACTCACAAGAGAAGCATGTTTTTAAATCATGAACAGCAGAGGTGGTACTCAATGAGGAATAAGCCCAGATGAAAAATTTTTAATCTAGAGGGTTTTAGGCTTTTATTTTGGTAATATGCAAATTAAGCAAATGTGTGACATTTTTCAGAACCCTCATCTCTTTAGTAAGACATGATTGGTAACCTATGGTAACAACGATGAAGCTACTGCTTAGCTGTACAGTGTAAACTGAAATGGGTGGGAGGTAACTGTGTGACAGTAGTTCCAGAAAACCTGGCAAGAAGCTTGTTTTACATGGCACATATATTGACTTAAACTAAAGGACGATTTATATTTATGAAATCCATTTAAATCACAGTGTGTACTCTGTGGTTTAAATAGATTTCAAACACTTACATTTCATACACTGTCTACAATGTCTAATAAGTCAACTTCAAATGATGTAAAGTTCTGTACAAACGCTGCCAGTATTTTAAATTTAGTTGCACACTGGGACTGTCGTCAGTCTACACAACTATGTATATTGATGTGGATAGATGTGGATAGAAATGGCACAAAACTCCAAGGCTACTACTTACTACTTCTTACTTTCTTTCCCATTCTGAAGCTTTGTTCAGCAACTTC